CGTAAACAAGATTTTCCATGTTCACGCTTCCCAAAATTGACTCATACACGCCGAGCCTCCAAAATCCGTATAAAACCGTAAAATCCCAGGCAGATTTTACGTCTTCGATGCATCCGTGCTAGGAAAAAACGCCGTACTAGCATTCGAATGCTGCCAAATTGCCTCTCAGAAAACATTCATTTTTGAAAATTTTTATGAATCTTTTCCCTTGAAATTTTCAGGCCCCCTAGAACAAATTACGAACAAAATCCTCTAAAAAATTCGAAGAAAAATATTTACAATTCCTCCTGAAAATTCGTGGTTCGTGGAAGGAGATTTGGCATCGCCGCAAGGCTCATTCGGCGTTTTTCCTGAGAACGGCATTATGCGACCAGTGGCGTGGCGTGAATTGCGATAAATCGATTGTTATGCCATTTAAACCTATGGAAAAGGATCGATAAACAGGGTGTTCGCAGCGAACACCTTAACAATCGATTCTTTACCAAAGGTTTATATGGCATAACAATCGATATATCACAATTCACGCCACGCCACTGTATGCGACTCCTATTCCGGCTTAGCGGGCCCTACATGCAAGCGCATCCATTAGTCAGCGGCCCTCGCACATGACTCCGCGACTGAATAAAATCCACACTCTCCTTCTGTCGCCCTTAGCAAGAACCGCTTATCTACACAGGTTTTCCGATGAAGTTACGTGGTTTTTGGTTCAGCGGAGCTCGCCTCCGGTGGTAATCCTAAAATCCGACTCGGAAAGTTGCATCGCATAATTAATTGTCAAGCGTGGAGCCAAGTTTCAATCTAGGCGAGCGCATCCCCAACCCTCCTCCCTCCTCTCGCCACTGATGAGCGAACTTTTACAACTTCGTTCGCGTTTTCTTCTCGCGGGGGTGTATTAGAGATGTTGCGAATATCCGGCGGTGTTGCCGGGATAAGAACGGGGGCATAAACGGGCTACATTTTGCAATTCGGAACTGTAAATTCCGGCCCGGTTTAAAAACAACGTATGTGCCTTTAGTTACCATATGAACATAAGTGGTTTTCTAGAAGAGCCAGAATTTATAGTTCCAAATTGCAAAATGCAGTCCAAATCTACGTCCTCCAGACGAAGGGACGTAACCCCATTCCATGCTTGTATGATTGACTCGGATAATTCGATTTTTGACAAAAATACGAACCAGCAATTTCTGTCCGAAATTTTGCAGGATTTTGCGTGTTATCGGGAAAAAAATCAGAGAGCTGTCAGTCAGAACGATGAAACAGTTTTCTGAACTAAATTCATTTGCGATTGAAAATTTTGCAACGTTTGCAGTTAGGAGCTTCTGTCCGGAGATCGGCGTGATGGGAGATTTTAGCAAGATTCTGATGGACGTGGTTCTATGCATTTTGAAAAACCCAGCATTGTGAAAACCTGAGGATAGAAACTTCATATTAGGAGCCCTAATCTACTGATCTCAACGCTAACTCAAAAGTCCATATTTAAGGTGATCTTACATGCGGAAACTTGAGTTGCTTGGTTCATCAGAAAAATCGTTTTGCTGCATGAGAGTCTGGACTTCGCGTAGAACGGAATTTATTAAAATTTCCGCGGATTGTTTTTTCTCTTCTTCTTCTTCTTCTTTTTCTTCTTCGTCTTCGTCTCCTTGTTCTTCTTTTCCTTCGAGAACGGACCGCGGTAAAAATGTTCCTTAAAATTGCTCCGAATTTGACTTAACATAACTTCATAGCAGAACTTTAGGATCAATTGAGTAGACAAATTTCTGTCGTAATCTCTTTTCCCTTGTTTTCATCTTAAATAATGATCATTGTTTAGGAAGAAAGAAAAAAGGAAAGGAAGTGTAAAGGGATCGGGACTATGTCTGAACTCTTTGCATGGGTATACTCAGCGAAGATGAACTGCTTGAGATATCTGAATCCCAATAGTTTATTACAAATCTGAACTACTGTTGTCTCTACCCCACCTGTTTCGAAAGTCTTGGGAAATTCGAACGTCTCTGATATAAGAATGCGACCCTGAGTTTGGAACCACGCGTAGGAAAATATAATTTTATGATCGTATTTCAATCACGTTTTTACCTCGACTATCTCTCAGAGACGTTTCGCCACAGGGAAAATTGCAGATCATTTTATAAAAACCGCCTTCTTACACCCTCCGGCTCTCAAGCGAGCATCAGTTTGTACCCCTTCGCGGAATGTAGACATAAGTCATTCGAAGATATTGTTCTTATCTTGTCTGCTGCTTTCGGTTTCACGAACTTTTGGAAGCCATACATCTACTATAAATAACGGAGAAATTGAGCTGGGTCCTCACCATTTCGCGGAGAAAACAAAGCCGAGAAATTCCAAAAATTATTCAATCACAGTTTTAAAAAAAAAATTTGCTTTTTTTCTTTAAATAATTTCTGGAATTTCTTGGCTTCGTTCCCCGCGCAATGGTGTGGACTCAGCACCAGCTTTCCATCTTAGTCCATACAGTTTGGGTCATTTTTAGTGTTTTTTTCTCATCTACTATAAAGTTTGTTGGTATTTTTATTATGAAAATAATTATGTAAATCGCGAAAATTCTCATATATTTTGGTTTATAAATAACATAGAATTAACATTGCATTTTTATTACGCACTATCGTACATTATTGCAATTATGGTGGGTGGTCACCGTCATTTCTTTTATTATCCTATGAGTTTCCACGAGACTCAACGGCTATAATCTGCCTATAGGGGTGCTCTAGCCGAAATCAGCGAGGAATACATGACAATGTCCGAATGAATTCCGCAGCGGGTGGATGACGCCGCCATTATGAGAAATAAAGTGGGAGGGGGGGGATAAATTAACTGGCTGAGAGGGGAATTAACAATCCTTAATAAATAAAAAAATCAAAATTTAGTATCGACGAAAAACACCGACCTGGTGAAATCAGGGGAGGAGAGAAAATACGCGATGTCGCGGGTGAAGTTGCGTGTTTTTCCAACTTTTATCATGGCGTTGCATTTTCCCGGCATCATCCCTCGATAAATCGCAGCGGAGCGCGGGGGGGGGGGGGGCGATGCGCGCCCCCCTCATTTTCCGACTTCGGCGTCGGCAACGGATAATTATTCATCATTATCCTTCCTCCCGTGTCCCGTATCCTGTCCCTCCAACAGGGAGCTTCACGCCGGAGCGTCCCGACTGCCGCTGATTATTTGCTCACGGCACCCGAATCAAAACTTTTTCCTGGACCCATTACAGCAATGAAAACAATCGCTACTTCGATGAGGGTAGTTGCGGGAAGTGGAGGGGGGCTCCCCCCGAACCTGGTGTCTCGCCGCACAGGGGGTATCTAATAAAGGGACTCGGATTTTTCTTGTGTGCTACGATGGTTCACGGGCAAGGGACCAGATCGATGGTTACACTGCCGCGCTAAGGAAAAACGCCGTATGAACCTCCACACGTTGCCGAATTTCCTCTCATAAAATACGAATTTATTGGGAGGGTTGTAAATATTTTTCTTCGAATTTTCCAGGCTACTTTGTTCGCAATTTAATCTGAATCTCAAAATTTTAAGGAAAAATAAACATGAATTTTGTGAAAACGATATTGCGCCATAGGAATGTGACCGAAGATTAAAATGGAAATAGCTTTCATGCACGCTGGGCTCGTCAATATAGAGCGGTGCATTATGAGAGTTAACGCCTCGCGCCATATCGCCTTCAATTTTGAAGACGCAACACGGACATCCATCGAGCACGAATAGTTGTATCTCTGCGCCGTCATCAACGCTCGTCCGTTCCCTTGCTCTATTACCATTTTAGGTTCGTTTCCGTTTGTCTTATTTGTATTGGTGTTCCAAGGATTACGTTAGCAACGCACCCAAAGATGTCGGAAAAGCTGAAAATGAGAAAATTCGTAACTGTTTCACCTTCCAATGCCATTTAGTACTCAAAAGACTCAAAACTCTATCAGAGAAACCCCGTTTCCTCAGATTACGCGATTGACTTTTGAGGCTATGTTTTAATGATGAACCAATCAATATCGATACCATCTCACCTATTTGATGTATCGAAAACGATCTATAAAAACAGTCTGAATAAAAGTATAAAAAAGCGCATGAGCCCTGGAGCAGTGTTTTGTAGTCAGCACCAACTTTTTTTTGCGTGTGATCCAAATTATACAGAAAAATTTAAGATAAAAGTGCTCGATTCAGCTTAGCAAATGGGTGGTTTTTAAACGAGGATTAAAAATAAACTGGTGGTACGGAATATATCAAAAGAAAATGAAGTATGCAAAACGATAATCCGGGTATCGGAACCTGGCTGTTTTGAAAACGCCTTCAATTGCGGCGTGATACCTCACGCATTCCGGAGAGTTCAAATAGTTGTATCATTGCGCCGTAAGAATGTGACGGAAGATTAAAATGGAAATAGCTTCCACGCACGCTGGGCTTGTCGATTTCCTTTGACACTTTTGGAGTGGTGAATGCATAGCTGAAGTGCGCTTCAGCTAGAATGGTATTTAGCAAATGGGTGGTTTTTAAACAAGGATTAAAAATAAACTGGTGGTACGAAATATATTAAAAGAAAATGAACTATGCAAAACAATAATCCGGAACATCCGTTATCATGTTTTATCCGCGGAAAGTTTTAAACACTCGAATAGTCATACGGCGTTCTTTCTTGGCACGTTAATATAGAAACCGGGTATATTCATTGCGGTGTTACAAAATGTCCGACTCTTTTTCATTTCTTCGAGGAGAAACAAGACAACTTCATAGCTTGACAGTTTTACAAAATGATCTGCTAACAGAGAGGAGAAATTAGGTTACGTGAATGCAATTTGGCTGATTTTAGTTAAATCCGTCCACTTGTGAATCATATTTTTGGCGGGAATATCATTCACGGGTATTCCGAAAAAAAGACGCTGAATTCCCGAGAGAAAATTAAATACGCGGGTTCCCAAACTTAGAATTTTATGAAAATGTATGATTTTTCACTGAGAAATAATACAAAAATCACTTATTTTGTTGCAGGTGTGAGAAGCAAAACTTTTGCTCAACCTAGTGACGATGATTTGTGGCAAGTCGATAAACGAAACTTTAACGTAAGTATTGACTCTATTGAATTCAAGATATCCTTCATTTAGTGCGGCTAAGACTTGGTAATCACTGATACTTGAGTCGAGTTAAAAGTTTGAATCATTTTTGGACTACATCATCGGGCCTCTATTTTCCCCCATGATAAAAAGGGTCGATAGACCGAGTGTACGTGAAAATTCTCCAAAATAACGCAAGAAAAATACCCACGCGGTAAATCTTCAAACTTGATCACACTTATTATTTACTAAAGGTCGCTACTAAGTGGCAAACTAACAATAGTTGCGTTTATTTTATGAGCTCTTGGCCATTCTCCCCACGCTCAGCACATAATAAACCCATCGACACGTAAAATTTCCAATCCCAAGACGGCCGGCTAGAGATTCGCAACAACGCGACCCCGCGTTTCACCTACTTTATTTTGTTGCGTTTTATCTCGGTTTTACTGCGCGTAATGAAACATGTTTTCAAAATTGTGACTCCGGACCATCTCAGAGGCCCTCAGTGGCCGCTCGTCAAAGCCCGCGTGATTACGTATTTTATTGTCCATTTTTCCAAGGTCTCGACGACTCTTTAGGTCGATTTTTGAATCGACCTAAATCGATAGAGCCCTATCTCAGCAACGATATAAATCGATCGATAAATTCGAGATTCTAGGAGTATGAATGTTGGACTCTCGGTCGATGAAACGTTATTGAGCCACCTCGATCAATAAAGCTATATCCTAGCCTCTTTAGGTCGATTGTTGAATCGACCTAAATCGATAGAGCCCTATCCTAGCAACGATATGTATCGATCGATACATTCGAGATTCTAGGAGTATGGGAGTTCAAGATAGGAATTGAAGGGGAGGGATTGAGAGCCGTCGGAAAAATTTTATTGCCATTTAGTGCGGCTGTAAAAAGTGTCCCCACAAAATTGGATCGCTGTGTCTACGAGGCCTGAACTTTGAGCTCCCGCAAAGCTTATGCAAGCATTCAAGAGGGACACGAGTTCCGCCTGTTCATAGTCTGAGAAAAATGGTTAAACAATTTTTTTTTTTTTTTTTTTTTTTTTTTTTTTTAAAAAAAAAAAGGTGGAAAAATTGCGGTAACTTAGGAACTTATGGGAGTATTTTTTTAGCTGGAAACAAAAACATTTTCTTGAGAAAACGGTTCTGTGAGCAATAATTATTTGAAATAATTAAGATATAATGGAAAAATAGTTTATAGGAGTCTTTCGGTGATCTCGAGAAATTTCAGGTTTTCGAAAACAAGAATAACTTATAAAACGATCTGGTTGTTCAAACTAATAATTCGGACAAGTTGAAAGATCAAATCTATCCTATAACTCTAGTCTATAAGAAAAAGTGTTTTCATTGGTCTGGAGGTTATTATTACGCCTGGAAATATTTTATCAAGGACTGGGATCAAAAACCAGCCTCACCGTACCTTTGTAACGTTGGGCGTAACTTTGTGTAAATTTTATCATAATATTGCTTCAATGTTTTTGTCTCAAATGAGATGATACCATATTGAATTTTCGAAAAACAAAATCTCTATATTGAGCTTATTTCAGACAGATCAATCGTTGTTTTCACCGAAAGGCAACCCGCGGTGAAAGGGAGAATGAGTTAAAGAGAAGCGTTTTTAAGTCGCTGCTCATTGATTTTGCAGTCCGCTCGCTCACTTTGGGCACGAACTAATTTGCAACTTCTGAACCGGGATGATCCCGGCGAAAGGATCGGGCGAGGGGACGTTTTTGTGAAGTTGAAGGGGTCACTTCAAAGTTGAAAGGGGATCGATCCTAAGTTCAAAGTTTGCTTGCGAAGTATCAAGTCCAGTGTTTTTCTACCAAATCAGTTTCTATTTGCCGTTGGTCCCTCAGTCAACAGAACGAACGGGTTTGTGACATCTCATCTAAAAAGACATTTGTTTTTGTGCGCTAAATCGGTATGAGGACCGGGACAGGTACCAGACAACCGTTTAAACCCGTCTTTAATCGGAGAACCCGAAACAAAAACCACACAGGAAAGAACAGTTAAATGAAATTTCTTTATTAAATAACAAAAAAGTATTTGATTTCAAGATAATTTTATGGGCTTAAAAAAATAATTAGTTTAGCCAAGAAAAAATTTTCCCGTTAAAACAAATTTGTGAAAGAACTTCATTTTCCTTAAATTTCGATGAATATTTTTCCTTCAAAGAAAAGTACATTATTTCGTCATTAATGACAAAGCTATAAGCCTTTTGAAAAAAAATACCAGTTACGCGAAAACTGCATTTCAGACCAATTTTAAAGCCCCTTCCACATTTGGATGGTCACTGTCATAACATAAAAGTCAGTGCAGGCATCTCTTCAAAAATGTGCTTATAATACGAATCTGACCGGAAAGGACCTAGATCTGCAACATTCAGGAAACGCAGTATTTATTTTTTCTCGCAAGTGGTCAAACGATTTGAAGCCATTTAGAGAAATGTTTTTGCACATTTATGTAAATTTTATGATGATTTGATGACAAGAAATGTTTCTGTTCGGTGCAAAGTGTTCCTACGACACAGAATTTTATTTCCAGGATTACTTTCTACACATTAAGAAAAAAGTAACCAACATTTTGTGTTAATATGAGATGTAAAACACAAAGTAACATAAACTGCTGCATGGTTGATTTTCTTTTTTGTGTGTCACTTTTCCCTGTGTCAAATCGACTGAATCTTTTGGGTCGCGGCGACCAAATCTTCATGTTGAAAATCTGCGACCTCCTTTAAAATTAGTCGCCAGCTTCCTTATTCATTAGTCGGGACACTTCCTTCATGATCCGATGTCTCGACGGTTTAAGTCGGTCCAACACAAACTTGTGTTGAGCAACCAAGTCCTTTGAGTTGATAAAACACAAAACAAAGTAACACAAAGTGACATATCAGAGTAACACAAAGGAACACATCAGAGTAACACAAAGTAACACATCAGAGTAATACAAAGTAACTGATCAGAGTAACACAAAGTAACACATCAGAGTAACACAAAGTAACACATCAGAGTAACACAAAGTAACACATCAGAGTAACACAAAGTAACTGATCAGAGTAACACAAAGTAACACCTCAGAGTAAAATCAAACACGGACATTTTTAACTGTGTAACCATTCGGATTTGAATTGTGTTTCAAAGCGTCTGTTGTCAACTGAATTTATTGAGGAGGAAGATGCGCTGCAAATATTGTCCTCTGAGAGGAAGGTTGCTGCAAAAATCGGCTTGAATTGCACTGCAACGCTGACCCAGAAAACTTGACCCACGAATGTTGTTTGGCTAAAGGGATTGTCGCGCGACAACAGCTGACAGGATGATGGGGGACCGCTCCGTTATTTGTTCTCCTATTTAACATAGATACTCCATTCGCAACTTGTCTCGGCTCACCGGTGAAACGATACCTCCTGCCCTGTCCCTCACCCCTTCACCTTCTCCCCTCCCCGAATGAATTTGCAAACTTTGTTGTCGGGTTTAGACGGATATGGACCCAACCAACAAATTCACCACCGGGACGACTGCAATGTGCCACTAGACGACGTGCAAATTTGAGCATCATGGTGTATGTTGTTTCCATCAAATTTCCACCACGATTTGAAAAGCGGAAAAACAAAGATACGAGCTTTTTTCCATACTTTAATTCAAAAGCTTCCCATTCATGCAAAAGACGATAATCTAATCGAGTTCAATCGTACACGAGGCGTTACCGTGATAGTTTCTGCGTTAGGAAAACATGACAATTTCAATCTTGCAGCGAGAAAATGAAATTGCTTATTTAACAATTTTGTAGTTTGAAAAAGTTTCCACCATGTTTCGATGTAGATTTTACAGTAAAAAATACCAATTTAACCAGCCAGTGATTAATTTAGCTTTTCACTATTGTAAAATGTACATTTGAAACATGGCGAATATGTTTGCTAACAATTTAATTGTCAAATCTGCAATCCATTTTTTATCGTGTTGGTGCTTTGGCTAAGCAGCTATCGTATGGTGTTCACTTTATGAACAACACAGGGTGGGAAAAGAGCACTGGACAGGGATCAATTAAGAAGTCTGCAAAAACCGCTGGATTGCAGGATTTGAATGATTTGATTCAAGCAGACTGTAGCTTTTCTCGTGAGCGGGAGCTTCATATTTTTCTTGACCAACGCTAAAAAAAAAGGTATCATTAGTTTACGTTGTGCAAATCCTATTCTAGGTGGAATTTAAAGAGGAGACATGTATAAGAATGCCTAAATTTGTACATTGCCTGATGATCCATTCAATCGTTTGTTAGGTTATTTTAATATTCAATTAAACTAGAAGGGAGGATCACAATAAATTCGCAAAGCGACAGAAAATTGAGATCCATGCATTGCATTGGGGTCATTATGGTCACACCAGCTCGGAAAATCCGACTAATGCATGTGGCAACCATGATGTCAAAAAAAGACACGGAAAATCAAATAAATGCGATTGTTATAACCGGGGCTAGGAACGGCACCCACTAAAGTGGGGCGAAATGAAAGGTGATTTATTTGTAACTGACAAAGGGGTATTTTAAAACGCTGTCGTTTCTTAAAGTTTCGGCCAAATTTTTCGTTTTCTTTTTTGCGTTTATCACTAACATACTACCTCGAGCATCAATACATAAATATACTGTATCGATCGAGAGGAAACTCTGAAAAAACTTTGCTGCTCCTTAACACGGAGGTACATGCACAGAACGTTACTGTTCAAAACTCTCTCAGAATTCAGATATTTTCTCTCGGGTGATGACCAATTAGACTCACTTTTATGATTAGGAATCACTATTTCTGGCTCATAAAATCATCTGCCTGCATAGTGACCGCTCGTGTATTACGCAAATAACTTTTACCGATTTTTCACACCCCCCCCCCCCCCCCCCCCTCCCCCCAAAACGTAACGCTGGCCTGAGTGACCACCCTCCCAAATTTTCGAAAAAGTTCATCCCGAAACGGTGGGATTTTCAATTTTTTGCACGCTTATTCTCAAAATTTTC